TCTAAATTCGATAAAAGCAATGTATATTTCTATGTTTTCTATATTTACATAGTTTATATATTTGTTAGTTTTTACAAAATAAATTGACAACGTACCAAAATTGTTATTCCAAACGTAATTAAATTCGTTAATTAATCAAAATGTTGATAAAATACAATTTGCAACACAAATAAATTCAACGTGATTCAACGTGTCCTATGTTAGGTTAAGTTACAATTACACCTATGATCTGTTTTCTGTTCCTGCACTATACTGCACTAGAAGCTAGAAGTCTCTCTTTCTCGCTTTCGACGAATATCAAACATATACTTATTTCACTTTTTCAAAAGAGTTACACTGATTCAGCCATAGAAAACAGACCTCTAGTAATTTTTGATTCCTGCACCTATGTACACAGAACATTGCTGCGCGGCGTCAGTAGCCAATGACTACGTTCAGCAGAGAAAGCAACCTTGCAACTATTATAAAATTCTTGAATCTGATTGATTTATACATTTAGATCCAATGAGGAGCTAAGAGCAAGATCAATCATATTAAAGAATTTTACAATAGTTGCAAAGCTTTTTCTGCTGAACGCAGCCATTTATTCTTTCGCTTTTATGAAATATTGGTTATCTAATTTCCATCGTGCCATAAGCCGCATTCTATGTGCAGAAGCCATTAGGATCGTTCGATGTATTATCGATAGCTCGCTTTTTTTCGTATTATTGCACGTCAGTATAGGCAATTTCACGATCAACAGTATCAACTGTGGCTTAGTTTCCACTGAGGGTTTAAACCGGATCAGAATGTAAGAACCAACTATAGTCGAGTATTCCCTGTTAGGGACTCCGCACAATAAAAGGAACAGAAAACAGAGAACAGAGGCTGTGCAAAGTCCCGCTTTGAAGCATTTGATGGACCAATCAGAAGAAAGAATTTTACAAACTGACCAGTTAAAAAACACTTCAAAGCATTTGCAGCCTCGTGTTGACTATACCCAAAGAGAATTTCAACCTATCAGAAATTATCTATTGTAGAATATGCAATTTCTGATAGGTTGAAATTCTTATTCTCTGTTCCTTTTTTCTTTTATTGTGCGGGGTCTCTTAGGATCATTCCGCACAACTTGCATAGCCGCATAACCATGTGTATAAAGAAAATTATCCAATCACATTTCTGCCATAAATACAAACGTAAAATATTATTAGATAATTTTCTTTATGCATGTTATGCGGTTATGCAAATTTGTATAGAATGATTCTTACAGTCAAACGACAGGAGAAGGCTCGACTGTAATTGATTGGTTCTTATATTTTGATCCGGTTTACCTCAATGGAAACTAGGCCCATGGTCAGTTTCGCTACAAATGCTTTGAAGCATTTGATGGACCAATTAGAAGGAAGAATTTCCGAACTGACCAGTTAAAAAATACTTCAAAGCGTTTGCAGCATCGCGTTGACCGTACCCTAGGCCCCTAGGCCTGTGGCAACTACGAAGGAAGTTTTTATTGCATGAGATAAAGATGTGACCATTTCATTCGCGAAGCTATACATATATAATATATACACACATTATATACACATATATTCGTGTGTGTGTGTATGTGATAACCAGTCACTGTAGTCGTCATAAATATATGTAGTGTCAAACTAACCATGCTAAGACGTATTAACTCTTGTTAACTACCCTAAGAATTTAGACTCGCCGACACGACTGAAAGATGGTCTCGATTATCAAAAATCAGCTACTGAAACATCTGTCGAGGTATTGTCCATGCAAACACGATCAATTAACCTGCAACACGGTTGCAAGTGACGTGCCAAAAAAAAAATCGTCTCGTTGAAGTCACACGTCACATAACACACTCCTTATACTTCCTTATTGTTGAGACATACATCTTATCATTGTGATATAGCTGACGAATCTTTCTTTCCTATGTGTTCTGCATAATTGTAACATTCGTAGAGCAGCTTCAAAAATGAAAATATTCTCTCCTATTGTAATCGACATACTTATCATCATATGCTACTGATTTTTTCTACTTTTTCTTGTTAGTAAAAATTTTGCATATTTAAGTTAGCAATAGTTGTATAACTTTGTGCATGAAAATTTACCTATGCTAATTATACCTATGCTAATATTTACCTATGCTTATATTTATCTATAATGAGTATACAAATTAAATAATTTTTTATAATTTGTATGTATGTACATATAATATATATTATTATTTATTTAACTTATGATTTTTATAACTATTGTTAAATGATATATTTTGCATGTTGAGTATTTTATATTGTGTATTATAGGTTTACTAAGAATTTATCTGCTGATAAGATAAATTTGAGTACATTCAAAGGTGAAGGAGAACTGTCAAATTTAGAACTTGATGAAACAGTTCTCACGGATCTACTAGAGCTGCCATCGTGGTTAAGACTAACTAATGCTTGGTGCAATAAAGTTTCATTTCGCATACAATGGACCAAACTAAAAAGTGTTCCTATCTTTTTGGTAAATAATAGTTATTGATTATAAATATATGATATAACTATACTAAACTACTGTAAACTATACTAAACTATGTAATTAAAATATTATATTTGCAGAGTTTGGATGAGGTACATATAGATGTAGAAACATGTGAGGATCTAAGAAGCATGTCTTCCCCGCAGGGTATATCATCATATGCTGGTCCTGCAAAGTATTCTTTTATACATAAAGTAATTGATGGAATAACAGTAGCTGTCAATACTGTACTGGTTACATTTAAAAGCCCTGCATTTATTGCCTCAGTCCAGGTATATTATTATACAGTATATTATTATACAACATAGAAGGTAGTAAATTGAAGATTTTGAATAGATGATTATTTATTATAACATTTATTAAATATAACCATTTTGTATTATTTAGATGAACCGGATTATGGTAGAATCCAAATCAGCAACATGGCAGCGTTGTGATCTCAGAACTACTAGAGTGAAAGATCCTGATCGAGGGCAGTTACTTATCTTTAAAGAGTTAGAATGGCAGACTGTTAGAATAGAAGCTCAAAGTACTAAGGATCACAATTTGACACCACTTCGTTTACTTACAAACCAAGCAAGATGTCGAATTACAATAAAGAAAAGGATATCAGGTCTGTGAAAGTTGATGTAAATATCTTGATAGTGAATACATCATATTCACTATTGCTAAATCATCTATTTTATTACAGATTGTTTCGTTATGGGCTGTAGATTAGTAATTATCCTAGATGATCTTCTATGGGTATTGACAGATTCACAACTGAAGGCTGCGCTTCACTTTCTTGATTCTTTGGGCGGTCTTATCGAGAAAGCTACTATTCTTGAACGAAAAACCAAAGCTGCAAGAAAGTTAGAGGTTTGCATCTATTCAATTTGTGATTTTATTTAATTTTTATTTTAATTAATTCTTGTGTAAAACTCTAATAATTTATTATTAATTTATCTTATAATAAGGTTTTACCAGAATATCAGGCACAGATATCTCAACAAAGCAGAACGAAAAGTCAATACAACACAGCGATTTCAAAAATATTTACGAGATATGATGTTGTAGAGACATCATATCATTTTCTTTCACAACGCATTGATCTTCACTTATGTGATGATGCTGGTGGTAAGATCAAAAGAGACTTGTATTTGTTTTTACATTTATTAAGATAATATTTACTATTTTATTTATATATTTATTTATTTAACATATTTTACAATTTAGGATTTTCTGCATTTTATACATAATTTTTACTCTTAATATTATGTTATTAAAATAGGAGGCAGATCATTACATCCTGATCTAAAGGATGGTGGTGCATTACAAATTTCAATAGTTAGATTTCAAATTGATTATTATCCATATCATTTAGCGATGGCGGATAGAAAACATTGGGCCAAATACAGAGAAAATGCTACACCTCATAATCAATGGTTGCAACAATCGTTGAGTTCGTTTAGAAGTCAGTTTATGGATCTCATAGATTCTGGGAGAACACAACATTCTCCTTTAACAAGAAGTCAAGGAAACATAACAGGTTTGTGCATATATATCTGAAGCCAAATGTTTGAATTAATATATAATTGATATAAGACTTTGCGTATCATTCGATTTTATTTAAAACAGGAAGCGCTATAAAAGGTTCCAAAGAACATTTAGAAAAAAGTAATCAACCACAAAATTCAAATGTTACGCCATCTGAGCAAAAGAAGTCTCAACATCCTAGTGGTAATCCTGTGAAAAATTACGTTTTGGAGCAACTTGCCAAACTGATGACAACGTGCATTATTATCAGAATCGATGATTTTACTTTGTACAAAGTGACAACAACTTCGCGTAATCCAATGCCAAAAGAATTTATCTCAGGTATTATATGTTTAATATTTAGAGTTATTTGTTTATCAGGCTGTTTATTAAAATAGTCGCATCAAGTTTGACAATAATTATTTTATTTGATAATTATACAGCTCAAACCAGGAAAAAACATACATCAGGTACAACAAATTAGTAGTTGTTCGTTTGAATGTAACATTGCACATAAAGTTTTTAACTAAATTTAATTTATTTTAACAAGTAGATTTATTTTACTTCTCTTTTTTTATTATGTTTATATATATGTTTATATATATGTTAAAAAAAATTGAGATTAATCTTTAATTTAATATTCAATGTGCAATGACGTGTACTTAAAAGATATTGATGTTACATATTACAAAAAAGTTTCTTAGAGATTATACAAGATATTATATGTTATTTACAAATGGTATCGTTAAATACTGTTTAATTTTTTAACAAAATGATGTATAAAATTATCATTGCATGTGAGACCGAATTTAAATAGTAGTTAGATTTAAAATTTTCCTTTCGTATTTTAGTCAACTTCCATTATCTCCTATATCTATTTAAATTAAATTTTTATTTAGGCGATCGTGACAGATTTAGTCTTCCAGAAGACGTAACAATACTTCATGCTGAGTTTACTTATTACTATTATCCAGGGGATATTACTTTTCCCTGTAAGCAGATATTTCATATAAATATTTTTATTCTATTCGATAACTTCATTATTAAACAACATATAATTTTTTAGTGCCACCACCTAAATTTTATGTACAGCTTAATCCTATTCAAGTAAATTTCGATGTCTGTTCATGCCTTTGGTTTAATTCTTTTGCATTAAATCTTTATCATTCTCTTATGGGAAAGGACAAGCTGAGTTCTTCGCGCTTAATGTATTTTGATGTAAAAATAGAGGCTATACTTCCAAGAGTAAGTTGGAACATATTAGCATATATTTTTATTACTTATATATCATTTCATTCACGTTTTAGTAATTAAAATTTGTATTTTTAGATAGTTTTTGAAAGTCAACAGGATTATCCAAATCAGAAAGACAGACCCAAGTCTTTGCATATTCAAACCTCTAGAGCGTCTATAACAAATGTTCGATCAACAGAAAGATCTTCAAGGGCGGATTTGGCACAGTGTCTCAATGCGTTTCAAATGGGACAAATGTTCTTTGGAGCAGAATTTCCCAGTAAATCAGGGGATTTTCATGTAGTAACGGATAAATTTCTAGCCCATTGTGCAGGTATGTATTTACGATATTGCTAATATTAGCAACATATTTAGTCCTTTTTCATTATATATATATAGTTTTCTTTTTCTGTATCTTCTTTTTGTTTTTTGTATTTTAGGCACTGATAATATTAGGCAAATACCACCCAATTTTAGTAGCAATTCCGTAAATGAGCTGCTTCGTCAGTTGAACAGAGAACTTTTATGGACAGAGGCGAAAGATGTATGGTGCTGCAATTTGGAACCTGTTTGGGGAGATTTTTTCGGAGCACGGGCCGTTGGCCAAAATCGACCCGTACCGTTTCTAGATGCATTTCCTCTAACACTCTGGTGTTATTTCACTACAGACTCATCAGCCACAGAGAAGCTGTCGCCCGCCGATATTCATGGGCTGGCATATATAAGCAATCTAGTTAGCGTACAGATAAATCATTATCAGTATTTGTTCTTACTTAGATTGTCGGAGATAATCTCCGAGATGGCTACGTACTTGGCTGTGGACTCAAATAAGATTTTGAAAGTGGAGAATGGTGGATCATTGATCATAGGCGCATTGATACCGCAGGTGGAAGTGACATTTGTGATGCCGTCACATACACCTGGTAAGGAGAATTCCGGTGGTGATTTAGAATCCGTTGTGCCTGATTCGTCCAGCATAGCGGACGATTTCGTTGGCCCATCCACAGTTTGGCATACTAGCACGGTGAGCGCGCGAGTAGATTTTAGCGCTAAGAGAATGAACACAAGCAATGACGTAGAGACACCTCAAAGTGAGGCATCATCGATGATATCAATGGATTATTCACATTCTGCTCCGACACAACCGGTTGTCACTTTTAAACAAAATGGCACGAAGAAAAGCGATCAGGAAAGTTCAACGAATGCAATGTGGTGCATTCCCGAGAGCTGTGGACCGCAATACAGTAGTAGTGTTGGCAATACAAGCGATGAAAAGAAACATACAACAGAAACCGCACATAAGCATAGCAAGTCGGATTCAAACACGCCCTTTATTCCGAATAATTTCAATGTTAATCTTTCATCTATGAAAAAAGGACTCAGCAATCTAATGACATCGATCGACTCGGCTTTGAAGGCCTCCCCGGAAGATGGTAGCAGCGATACAGTGTCTATGAGAAGCGACGTTAGTTCGGACAGTGAGAATTACGTTTTGGTAAGCCTACAGGATCAAGGGAAGATTGACGCAGTATTCGGCATTGATAACTCGATTAGGATAACGGCCGTAGAAGAAGCAACTGAAGTTGTAGAAGAAACGCCGGATACTCAAAGTGAAAAATCTATGGACAGCGTATGCAAAAGGAAGGATCTAGCAAGTATCATAGACAATTGTGAGCAAGCTATCATTATCATCGAAAACAGTAGAAATAGAATTTTATTTTCTTATCCACAGGTTTCCATGGCAACATTCAAGCTGTCAAAAGTTGAATTTATACAACAATCTTGCGATTATTCTTCTGTTATTAAAGTTCAAGTTTCTAATATTGACAATGATGAGTGTTCATCTATTCCTTGGGATGAATTTCAGGTGAGATAAATTATATTTTAATAGATGTAAAATAAAATAAATATATACATATATACGTTATGCCATATTACATAATTATGCTCTTTTTAAACGAACAAAATTCCTTATTAATTGTACTGCTACAATAAAAATTTATTCTCTTCTTTTATGGAAATTTTGTTATTTTTACATAATATATATAGCTTATTTATTCAGCATCATTTGTGTGCTAATTTAAAGTATCTCGAATATAATTAAATTATATTTATACGGTAAATTTGTATTTTGTAATAATTTTATTGATATTTGAGTTTCAATCATAAAAAAATCACTTTTCTCCACACAACATTTTGCCATAATTTAAAAAAAACTGCATTAAACTTTTTGATTATAAGTCATAGTCTTTTCCAATTAGAGTATATATTTGAAATAGCGGGTTACTTGTGCATAAGCTACTAATACTTGAGTAGTCTTGCAGTAATTTGCTCATTGTTTTTACATTATATAATCAAGTTGATATTATAAATGTATATTTATACGATTTCTGTCTTTTAACTTTTTTTGCATGCCTCTCCCGCGTCTCTCCTTCTCTTGTGAATGTTTTTATGTGGCACTTGTGGCAGGTCAAGAGAAAGGTATTGGCAAAACCATTCATACATTTATTATTAGACACTGTGAAAAAAATGCATGTGTTGATATTGAGCTACATCACATTGCTGTTATCACACTGTTGATGGATTTCGTAGAATCAACAAAACTTCAATAATGTTTTAATAAATCAAATTATAATATTATAATTACATAATTATCATACAGTTATTAGCAAATGCAAATTTTTATTCAAAAAAAAAACCAACCACAAATAGAAGTATATTAAAAAATGACGATTTATATCATATCATATTTATATCGCATTAGTACAGTGATAATTATATTCTTCTGCAACATTGCTTTATTGAAATGGAATAATTGCATTATATGTTTCTGCTTTTATCTTTCTTGTTCGACAGAATAATTTTAGAATTAATTAAAGAGCATATTATTTTTTATTATTAAATTGGAATGCTTACAATTCTAAGTAAGTTACTTTTAATTACTTATGATTTCCATACACAGTTGATACAAATTTAATTTTAAAGTTTTTTAATTAGATTGCGGTAATAAAATGTATGGCATGGTATTGTAATAAGCTTGCGATAATTACAATAAGCAATATGTGAAGCTTGATTATGCTAGGCATTGTAAATATACATTATTTCAGTTTTGTATATTTTTTTTGTATATTTTTAATGAGATTTATTAATATTATTTCATACATTGAAAACGCTTTAGCGCATTGATACGCTTTTGCATCTGAATGAGATCGTTCTTGCAATTTTTATATATATTAAATTTTAATCTAAAATGTTTTAGCATTTGAAATTTGTTAACACATTTAACAGTAGATTTTTAGAGATGCTGTAATTAATAGATTTAAAAATACATTATGAAAGCTATTATAAGTAAATTATTTATAATTTATAACTAACAAAAAGGTATCATTAATTCATTTAGTGTATAAATCATATTTCATCTAATTTTGTAATATAATATTTCAATTTGAACAGTAAATTGAACGTAATCAATATGGAAATAGATATTTTATTAGCTGTAAACACAATTCATAGATCTACCCGTATTTAATATGTTCATGCATTCTGTTTGATAGACCAAATTCAGTTCGCGATCTCGAGGTTGGATAGAATTACCGTCCGATTCTGACTGTAGATCACGTATTAAGTTACGTTTGGATCATAGTTTGAAAAATCCAGAGGATTCTCGTAGATTATCGGATGCTAGTCAGAAAGACACGAGTGACAGCAATAGGTCAGCGCCTCAAGGTCATAGATTGACTGAGCAAGACACATCTCGTACATCCGACATCAATGTGCATGATAAAGAGAGCGTTATGAATTTATTCGAGGATAAGTTAGAGATGAGAGTCGCTAACGTAGGAATGTCATTGTCGATGAGCTCGGTAACGGGTTTAGCGGATTTGGCAGAGGACGAGATTATACCTAAACCAATTCCTATGCAGGTAAGTAATTTTCGGAAGATTATCAAGTACATTTCTTGGATATAATATCCTCTAAAAATATAAATAAATAAAATTTATTGTCGAACGCATATATTTTATTTCAGATATACTTGGAAAATATATCATTACGTTTAAATGAAGATCGTCCGCCAAATAACATAACTTCTCCAGGGCCAATCCCGATAGATTTGAATATTTCCAAACTCAGGATAGCGCGGGACATGAGCGGCGTGTTTCACATTGAACCCGTTGGTAAGTAACGCCGTTGTTGAAATCCATTTGTTTCTGCCACTTGCAATTAACATTGAGTTGATTTTCTTTTTCGATTTTTATGCGATATTAATCTTAGTTATGTCGTTCCTGTGCGCCTGTAAATACACGTACCCGTAAGTTGGTATATAGATTTTTACATTGCGCAAGTGGCAGATTTCTGTTTGGAAGTAATTAATATTACATATTGCGTAATTGTTCTCTGCACCCAGGCGGCCTTTCGAATGTGAGCATTGATATAACACTTGTAGACAAATAGTTTTAAATATTGCTGCTTATTACTATTGCACTGCTTAACATATATTATTTTAACTAGACATAATTAATATATATAGATAAAATATATAGATAAAATATAGCATGAATTATAGCTTATTTTTTATTTGTACACAAAGAAAAATTTATTGAGTTACAAGAAGTAATCATTTTACTTTTTATTATGTATTATTTTATACTTTATATTATATATTGTTAAATTTATATAGGATATATCTAAAATTGATTATAGCAGAATTTTTTTATATATATTTTTATATATTTGAGATATATTTGAGTTATTTTTAATAATTTTTTTATTTATACCTAATAAGAGCTGACTGACATAATTTTTAAATTATTTATTACTAAAAAATGGAAAAATGACATATGTATATACATACAATCAGTATTATAACATTTTTCATCAGTATTATAACATTTTATTAATAAGTCCAATCATTGCCATTGCTAATTATTGTCTGATATCTTTGAAACATGCTTTAATTAATTTTACAGCATACTTTAGATGAAGACCATCACATTAAATAAATCTGTCGAGATAATTGTTCCATCGTATATACTTTCTATCGCTGCAGCATAATATTTATATATCGTCAATTAGATTTATATCTGATGATTATGGTGGCCAGTCTAATGTTTCGATACTATTTTCTTTCTTTCATTAGGAATAAAAACGATATTTTACACATACGTAATAACTGTGATGATCTATTTATCCTCTTTCTTTGATATCTTTCATGTCTTACTATGTGTGGTTTAATAGATCATCAATGATATTGTTTCATATCACTTTATTAACTTATTTATCAACGCCTTAGACTTTTTTATGTATTTTGCAGCCGTATTTTCCCGCAACTTTCAGTTCTTTCGGGTGTGTGCAAAGGAACATAACTTTGAATCTTTTAAAATATACATTATTTATGATTAAATATGTCATATTTAGCAAAAATAGACAATAACTTTATATAATGCTTCATAGAAAAAGAAAATCCTTCCATTGTCCAAAAATTTTTAATTCAACAGTTTCAAAATTTAAATAGAAGTTTACGTGATCACGCTCTTATTAGACAGACTATATTATGAAGAATTAGATATTGAATCTTAAGTTGGTAAAAAGTTCTTTGTCATAAATACATGTATCCTAATTAATGATTTATAATATTTGTCTTATACACCCAAGCTATATCTATTTTTTATCATAAAAATATATTTTTTATATTTTATATTGCATACATTTAATGTTAGTATGACTAGACAAATCTATATTTATATTAGTATATTTATTTCTTTTTAATTATTATCTCTTTTGAAAGAAATTATACAGTGTTATGTTTGTATGTTTTTGTTGAAATATTCAATATAACTTTTAGTAGATCAAATAGCAATTTTTTTCTTTTTAGTAACTGTAATAGAGGAGATCCATTCAAATACGGCATTATCGAGTGACAAAATGCTTAAGAATGCAGAATGCGAGAGGGAATTAAAAGCTTTAAGACAATCCAGTAAGCAATTGAAATTAGATAACGAAGAATTGAAACGTCGTATGGGAGCTCTAGAAAGATTGTCAGAAGAAAATGCGAGATTAATGCGCGTTAAAGAGGAATCGGATATAATAAGATCTCGTTTGAGCACCGCAGAAGATGACATTGCGAGTCTTCTGGAAGAAAAGAAACTCTTACATGAAACTATTTCAGAGCTGCGAAATCAAAGACTGGAAGACGATCCTGAAGGTAGTAATAGAGCTTCATGGTCTATCAAGAGATAGCATACCAGTTGTTTTGATTGTTCCAAATGTTGCAGTTCTACTAAGTCTTAATTAGTTATATTTTCTATAAAAAGAGAAACATTTTTTTTGACTAAAGTCTAGGATATCTTTATGTAAAGCAAAAAGACTTTCAGTTTACTTAAATAAAATAGTTATCGCTCACGATATAATTTTCAACTTTACATATATAAATTAATGAGAATTAGAATAATTTTAATTTTTCTGAAAAAACTATCAGGTCTATAACTATTCTTTAAGATATATTATTTTCGTAAAATATTATTATCTGCCGTAATTACATGCTAGTAACTGCCGTTTAGGTCTTTTGCTTAAAATATAAAACAATGATAAGAATTATATAGATGCAAACTTAAATGAAAAATATCAATTTTCTTATCATGATCGAATATAAGGCGATAAACCGCAATATGTTTCACGAAAATTAGTAATTGGTCATACGATGTTTTGATAAATTTTAATCGCCTGTGTATTGTTTATGAGTAGTGTTGCTAAAAGTTGTGTATCATATTTTTTTGTATTATGCGCATTATTTTGTTATAATATATGTATATATAAATAATTAACAAATATTTTGTTATTTATCTATATATACATGCTTATATGATATACATATCCTTCTAAAAATGAAATAAAATATATAATGAAGATGTAAATGAATAAATAAAAACGATTTATTTAGATTGATATCTATGTTAGTAAAGAAGCATGCTATATATATTTCTTTGTTTTAAGATGAGAATTAAAATCTACTCAAGTATTTGCATATTTGTGCATTATGCTCAAATGAAATGTATTTGTATCACGATTTTTTTAGAAGGATGTGTATGTACATGTACAGAATAAGCAAGTGCACTAGTATATCACAGTTATATTGATTGATTCTATAATTGGTAATATTTTCATATTTTGCTTTCTATATAATAAGTAAAAACATACTGTGAAACATAATGATTTAAAACAGACGATTATAACTTAATAATATATACTAGTTGAGCCTACGGATAGACTTCAAATAGAAATTGTGACCTGGTGGTATCGCATTATATCATATACATAATTTGTATTGACTGATTTAATGATTCATCAAATGATGAAAATTATAAATAATAATAATATGATAAGGTGGAACGTTTCAATAAGACTGTATAAAATTCGGATATGTTGGTCTATAGTAGTCGCACTAGAATCCTTCAGATAATTTATATAAACGTTAGACACAGTGAAATTGACTTAATGAATTTTTAAAAGAGAGAATTGTAATACGATGGATTGCAAATGATAGTCCTTTTAATACAAGATTTGTTTTAATTTACAATTGATCCCAATAATAGCTTCCTTAGAGTTTGATTTTGATAGATTTAGTTTCTATAATGGATTGCTGGTCGATCCTACATAAATGGAAAGTATTTTTTTAGTGCATACGAATACATGATGCGATTGAAATTTGTTTCATAATGTAAATTTTTGCTCTTAATATACACATTTCATGTATTATAAGTACGTCATTTAGATAGATTTCCATTTAGATGCGGCTTTGAACGGCGCGTTCTCTCGGCAAATATTTTCTGATAAACAAATACAAATGTCATGATTGTATATCTATGTGATTGCTTGAAACGGTGCAATACGATATAGTTATGTAATATTTGACTAGTGAACGCAATGACTGAAGGTAGCAATTGTGTCTACATATATTAATATGTAGGCTTTTAGAAAAGAGTGAAAGATAAAAGTTGAAGTTTTTGTTACTTTCAAATATACGGATAAGCTTTTTATAATGCACATATCATATCTACAATGAAGAGTTTGCTTATATGTATAACACATTTATATATGATCTGATAACATTTTACATTGCAGAAACATATTCTTGCGATTTAATTGTATATCTCTTATTTTTTTTTTCATTTAAATCTGATTTAAATCAACTTCCTAAAGTTTGCTTATAATTCCTTTCTTAAAGAACTACTTTTTTTATATTAATAATACAAATATATTTGGTAATATTATATGTATAAATATGTTTTGGTAATAATATATATCAAACATACTTTTTTCATTGTTTATAATATTATATATTATATATT